ATGGTAATGACAACGTATACATGTCTGAGCTAAGCGTATGACTATCTGACAACGTATACTGATCTGACAGAACACCGGCAATATCTTCTTTCAAAAAAGACAGTAGTTCGAGCGTCCGGGTTCATCTGAGTCGGAGCGGTTATGACACATGGGTCTACCCAGGGTCGCAACTACATATTATTCAGGTGGGTGCGAACAGATAAATTGGCGCCCCCCAAAGGAAGGTACGTGAAGGCAAAGGGGCACACACGCTACATTTCTCAGGTGGATGCATACACAACATATGCTTGCTCTAACCCCCCTCACCCTTCCAGACGAAGGTATGTGAAAGGTAAAACTCGCTACATTTACCCTGTTATGGGCGCGAAGTGAAGGAGCGTAAGGGCGCTTGAGTGTATGCGAACACATCATCGGCGCGCTGCCCCCTCCAGACGGGGTTTTGACGCCCCCTCTGGTGCAGCGCCTCTATGCGTTGCATGCGCTGCATGCTCACTTTTTGCGCCACTGGGTCTACCGGCAAAGAAACCGAGGCCTGTGAGCATGACTTTAGCTGCGTCTGAATAGTACGAGATTTTCCCTTTCCTGACATTGCCACGTAGTGCCAAAATATATACACAGGACCAGAGTTAAACTAAGTAGATAACAAAGACTTGGTTTACAAGGGAAAGCACAGTTGAATAAGAATTTTAAATGAAATTGGCAGGAGCTACCACCACCCATGTTCTACTCCATTGACCGCTCTCAAATAAATCTTTTAAACAAGGCCATGGGTGGCGCAGGTCTTCTGGATGACTACCCTTGATGGACTTCATTTTGGCCTTGCTATTCTTGAGGGAGGGCCTAATGGTACTTTACCACTTTGCAGTGGTTCAGTGGACCAATTCCTCTCTCTCCATTGATTACTTTCAAACTAGCAAACAAATCAAAAAAGCACAATGCGACTTGAATGTAAAGTGTACCGCAATGCTTTATAGAAATGTAGTTACTGTAGAATCTTGGCGTAAAAGTCATAAGTACCTATGATTAAATCTACTTACAGATACATTAAAAATTTACTTAAGTAAGTACAAGTACTTTGTTACAACCCACCACGGGAGACATATAGCATATTAAGAAATTGAGCTCCTCCCTGAGCTACTATTGCCGTCTGAAGAAATACACCAAAAACATCAAATCAGAGCCAGGAAGGAGGGTCTTAATAAGGACAATCATTGTAATGAACATGCTGCTAAATGTGCTAATGGCAGAGGAACAATTCATTACAGGAAAACCGTTTATATAACGTTATTGGATGCCATGCTAATGTAACCAGGATAATTTTTCTGTTAGATTCAGTTTTTATTTTTCTATTTTGTTAGATCTAATTTTATTTATTTTTATTTAAAGATTTAATTAAAATCCTCCTTTCCTTAATTTATTTAACACAAACCAAGCGAGAACATTCTTCTCGCGATGTTTCAACGTCATGTGACAGCTGCACGTCAGCGTCCTAAATTGACAGCTACGGCTTTTATTGCTGCTGAATCGCACCTTAGGTAGGAGACGCTGTCGGACTCTGACGTGCAGGTAGGCTTCTGTTCGGTTCCCAAAGCGGTTTTCAAATGTCGATTGTACATCTATCAATTGTGTGCCTCTGTTAACTTACAGACGTGAACATTCGGCTAAACGTTGAAACGATCACGGTTTGTCAAGAGGGAACTGGTGAGTGTTTGTTGGGGAGCTAGCATGCTAGCACTAGCCTCCCCAGCTGTTAAGTAGGTGACGCCAATCTAAAGCACATTCAAATTGAAATGCTTATTGAAACTATTGTTGTGAAAAGAGTAACTTGAATTTGCATAAGTTGCATTTAATTATGTAAACTCCTGTAATTAGAAAATACATTTACATGTTGATTGATTATTTAGGCCTGTTTACACAGGCCAGGTGTTTTGCAGATCCCCCCCCCCTCCGCTCAAGGAGTGGCTGAAGGGTTTAAGATGCATCACGGATTGTCTGGCTTCATGCTGACCAGACTGGCGAGCTAACCGTATTAGCGGATCCGGAGATACAACACTTATCTGTGAAAACTTCCGAACTGGTTGGAGATTCGGCCCAACAGTCTTCATTGACGGAACTGGATATTTTTTGTTTTTCCTTTCATCATCAACAAAGACTGATTGACTTTCTTGGATTAAGGAACCCTTTTGAACTCCAAATTGTGGACTAATTTGTATATATTGTAAATATCAATACAACTCACGGATTTTGCACCATCTACTTGTCTCTGTGTTTTTACAATTTGCCACCTCCTCCAGCAGACGAACCTAGTTTTTAAGAAATCACTTGGATTGACTTTAATTTGGATTATTTCAAATTCTAATAATCCTAGAATGTAACTCGGGTTACACTAACCAGCCTTAGCATTCACAACAGGCTCTGCTGATGACTGTAGCTTAGCTGAGTGCAAGGGAGGGAGACAGGGAGAATGGACAGGTGAGAGCACACACAGGCATGACTGTGAGAGCCAAGGCTCCCCCCTTGGCTCTGATTGGTTGTTTTTATACAGCACTAGGAGAAGGTGGAAAAGCTTGTTTTTGTTTTTGTTTTTTTTTCACAGATTATCTGTCTCAATACTGTCATAACATGGTAATACAAACCCTGGTGCAGAAGCTCTCCTCTCTTGGACTGAGTCCCACACTGGGGAACTGGATTCTGGACTTCCTGACCGACAGACCTCAGGCTGTCAGGATCCACAACACCGTCTCCTCCTCCATCACCCTTAGCACTGGCTTGACGCAGGCAGCATGCTCAGCCTCTCCTATCTGTCTGTCACACTGTGTAACAGCACCTTTACTGTTGGACTGAGTGACATTATCGATCTGAAAAGATTATTAAAGATGCCAGTAGGTCTTTATTCTAAAATATTTTTTAGCTTTGAGTTCAAATTTAAAGCAAACATTTCTACCATTTTTGCCAAGCAAAATGATTCTTACATCTGCAGTGGCTGCACATTTCTGCTGAAATCATCCCAACAAGCTTCAACCACACACTGCAGGGTCCGATTGCCTCCTTCTTTCGCTTGCATAATATCTCTTTGACAACTATTATCTTAAAACCATAATGTTCAAATTATTGAATGATGCTCTCTGGAATTTACAGAGTGGAGACAAAATGGGATGGTCCTCCATCTTGTCTCAAGAGTCTCTTTGTGAAGCCATTTCTATTGCTCACATGGAAGCCAGTGTTTTTCCATCTAACATCTGTTGTGGCTACAAACCTGATTACCCTGCAGATGGAGAAATATGGAGCCAGTAGGAATGACAGTGGAAGCTGTTTGGAGGGAGGCTAAATGACCTGCTAAACCTTGTCCTGTGGTGCACTGATGATGATGACAGATGAGCGTCCTGGCATAGATTTGTATAAAATGAAATAAGTGACAGCTTAAGGATGAAGGATGGAGGAAAAAAAGAGTGCACAAGTTCAACATCACTAGAAGAGCAGTTTAATCAATAAGCCATAAGTCTGATCATACCGTCTTGCTGCAGCCTGCAGGGAGCAGGTCCACTCTGACAGATATGAACAGAAAGCAGAGAACACAGGAAGATATCCATCCATCCATCCATCCATCCATCCATCCATCCATCCATCCATCCATCCATTTTCTTCCACTTTTCCGGAGTAGGGTCGTGGGGGCAGCAGCTTCAGAAGGGAGGCCCAGACTTCCCTCTCCCCAGCCACTTCTTCCAGCTCCTCCAGGGGAACCCCAAGGTGTTCCCAGACCAGCCGAAAGACATAATCCCTCAGCGTGTCCTGGGTCTTCCTCGGGGCCTCCTCCCAGTGGGACGTGCCCGGAACACCTCACCAGGGAGGCGTCCAGGAGGCATCCTGACCAGATGCCTGAGCAACCTCAACTGGCTCCTCTCGACGTGGAGGAGCAGCGGCTCTACTCTGAGTCCCTCCCGGATGACCGAGCTTCTCACCCTATCTCTAAGGGAGAGCCCAGCCACCCTGCGGAAGAAACCCATTTCGGCTGCTTGTATCCGTGATCTTGTTCTTTCAGTCATGACCCAAAGCTCATGACCATAGATGAGGGTTGGAACGTAGATCGACCGGTAAATCGAGAGCTTCGCTTTTTGACTCAGCTCTCTCTTCACCTCGACGGACCGGTACAGCGCCCGCTTCACAGCAGACGCTGCCCCAATCCGCCTGTCGATCTCCCGCTCCCTTCTTCCCTCATTCGTGAACAAGATCCCCAGATACTTAAACTCCTCCACTTGAGGCAGGACGACCCCCCTGACCCGGAGAAGGCACTCTACCTTTTTCCGGCTCAAGACCATGACCTCGGATTTGGAGGCACTAAGTCTCATCCCGGCCGCTTCACACTTGGCCGTGAACCGCTCCAGCGAGAGCTGCAGATCACGACCTGATGAAGCCAACAGGACCACATCATCCGCAAAAAGCAGAGATGCGATCCTAAGGCCACCAAAACAGATCCCCTCAACACCCCGGCTGCGTCTAGAAATTCTGTCCATGAAAGTAATGAACAGAATCGGTGACAAAGGGCAACCTTGGCGGAGTCCAACTCTCACCGGAAACGAGCCCGACTTACTGCCGGCAATGTGAACCAGACTCTGACACCGGTCGTACAAGGACCTGACAGCCCGTATCAAAGGGCCCGGTACCCCATACTCCCGGAGAACCCCCCACAAGGCCCCCCTGGGGACACGGTCGAACGCCTTCTCCAAGTCCACAAAACACATGTAGACCGGTTGGGCGAACTCCCATGCACCCTCCAGGAACCTGCCGAGGGTGTAGTAGGTTAGTTGTTTTTGTGTTAATATTTTCACTATGTGAAGTGGGGTGGGACA